CAACAGAACCAATGACAAAAACCACATGATTATCTCAATAGATGCAGAAAAGGCCTTCAATAAAACTCAACACCCCTTCATGCTAAAAATTCTCAATAAACTATGAATTGATGGAACGTATCTAAAAATAATAAGAGCTATTTCTGAAAAACCGACAGCCAATATCATACTGAATGGGCAAAAACCAGAAGCATTCCCTTTGAAAACTGGCACAAGACAAGGATGCCCTCTCTCACCATTCCTATTCAACATAGTATTGAAAGTTCTGACCAGGGCAATCAGACAAGAGAAAGAAACAAAGGCTATTCAAATAGGAAAAAAGGAAGTCAAATTGTCTCTGTTTGCAGATGACATGACTGTATATTTAGAAAACCCCATCATCTCAGCTCCAAATCTCCTGAAGCTGATAAGCAACTTCAGCAAAGTTTCAGGATACAAAATCAATGTGCAAAACTCACGAACATTCCTATTCACGAACAATAGATAAACAGAGAGCCAAATCATGAGTGAACTTCCATTCACTATTGCTACAAAGAGAATTAAATATCTAAGAATACAACTTATAAGGGATGTGAAGGACCTCTTCAAGGAGAACTACAAGCCACTGCTCAAAGAAATAAGAAAGGACACAAACAAATGGAAAAAGATTCCATGCTCATGGATAGGAAGAATCAACATTGTGAAAATGGCCACACCACCCAAAGTAATTCATAGATTCAGTGCTATCCCCATCAAGCTACCATTGACTTTCTTCACAGAATTAGAAAAAAACTACTTTAAATTTCACATGGAACCAAAAAGAAGCCTGCACAGCCAAGACAATCCTAAGCAAAATGAACAAAGCTGAATGCATCATGCTACATGACTTCAAACTATACTACAAGGCTACAATAACCAAAACAGCAGGATACTGGTACCAAAACATATATAGATCAATGGAACAGAACAGAGGCCTCAGAAATAACACCACACATCTACAACCATCTGATCTTTGACAAACCTGACAAAAACAAGCAATAGGGAAATGATTCCCTATTTAATAAATGTTGTTGGCAAAACTGTCTAGCCATATGCAGAAAACCCCTTCCTTACACCTTACAAAAATTAACTCAAGATGGATTAAAGACTTAAATGTAAGAATAAAATAATAAACACCCTAGAAGAAAACCTAAGCAATATTATTCAGGACTTAGCATGGGCAAAGACTTAATGACCAAAAGCAATGGCAACAAAAGCCAAAATTGACAAATGGGATCTAATTAAACTAAAGAGCTTCTGCACAGCAAAAGAAACTATCATCAGAGTGAACAGGCAACCTACAGAATGGGAGAATATTTCTGCAATCTATCCATCCTACAAAAGGCTAATATCCAGAATCTACAAAGAACTTAAATTTACAAGAAAAAAACAACCCCATCAAAAAGTGGGCATAGGATATGAACAGACACTTCTCAAAAGAAGACATTTATGCAGCCAACAAACATATGAAAAAAAGCTCAACATCACTGGTCATTAGAGAAATGCAAATCAAAACCACAATGAGATACCACCTCAGGCCAGTTAGAATGGTGATCATTAAAAAGTCAGGAAACAACAGATGCTGGAGAGGATGTAGAAAAATAGGAATGCTTTTACATTGTTGGTGGGAGTGTAAATTAGGTCAACCATTGTGGAAGACAGTGTGGCAATTCCTGAAGGATCTAGAACCAGAAACACCATTTGACCCAGCAATCCCAGTACTGGGTATATACTCAAAGGAGTAGAAATCATTCTCCTATAAAGGCACACGTACATATATATTTATTGCGGCACTATTCACAATAGCAAAGACTTGGAACCAACCCAAATGTCCATCAAAGATAGACTGGATAAAGATAATGTGGTACATATACACCATGAAATACTATGCAGATATAAAAAAGCATAAGTTCATGTCCTTTGCAGGGACATGGATGAAGCTGGAAACCATCATACTCAGCAAACTATAACAAGAACAGAAAACCAAACACTTCACGTTCTCTCTCATAAGTGGGAGTAGAACATTGAGAACACATGGACACAGGGAGGGGAACATCACACACTGGGGCCTGCTGGGGGTGGGGGCTAGGGGAGAGATAGCATTAGGAGAAATACATACTGTAGATGACGGGTTGATGGGTGCAGCGAGCCACCATGGCATGTGTATACCTAGGTAACAAACCTGCACATTCTGCACAAGTATGCCAGAACTCAAAGTATAGTAATTAATTTAACAGAAGGCTTGTATCAATAATTTAGAAAACACTTACAACTCAGTAAGACAATTCAATTAAAAGTGGGCAAAAAATTTGGACACTTAATGAATGAAGGTTTATGAATGGCAAATAAGCACATGAGAAGATGTTTAATATCATTAACTCTCAGACATATTAAAGCCATAGAGAGATGGAATATATATCTACTAGACTGGCTAAAATAACAATACTGAAAATACCCAGTGTTGATGAGGATGAGGAGCAAATGAAACTCTTACATACCACTGGTAGAAATGTAAAATAATGCAATCACTTTTAAAGTTAAACATACACTCACTTTATGACTCAGTAATTCTACTTCCAGCTATTTACCTAAGAGAAACACAAACAAGAAAAAGACATTGAGTCCCTCATATTAAAGGTAAAGAAATAAAATTGTCTTTATTTAAAGATGAGGATTGTTTGCACACAATATATCCAGGTAAATCTAGAGACTTTTTAGAACTAATAAAAATTTGGTAAGGTTGCTGGATGAGATCAATAAATAAAAATCAATAGTGTTCATACATACTGATAATAGCTAATTTAAAAAGGTTTTAGAAAAAAGTAACAAAACAAAAAACAAGCCCAGGAATATATAAACCCCAAGTTCTATTCCTCTATAGATAAAAATTATTGAATAATTTTGAAATTTATAAAAGACCTAAATAAAGAAAAACTCATATACAGATGCTCATAGCTGATTTTTATCATAAGAGCTCCAAACTGGAAATAACATGACTATCAACAAATGAATGAATAAAAAATTGTGATAATGCATACCAATTAAGTACTATGAAGAATGAAAAAGGAACAAGATACACATACAGGCAACATGGATGAATCTAAACAGTATACTGAGCAAAGGAAGTGACACAAAAGAGGACAACTACAGGATTCCTTTAATATGAAATCTGAGAAAAGATAAGACAAATTTATAGGGATTTGCAGTAAAAAGGAATTGATTTGTACAGAGTATTGGGGAAACCCTTTGGGGTAATGGAAATGTTTATATCTTGATTGTTGTAGTGGTTACATGGGTCTCATATGGTTACATGTCTCAAAACTTTCTGAATTGGATACAAAATGGGTACATTTGGTTTTATGTAAATTATGCCAATAAACTAAAAAATAGTAGCAAATCAATATCAACCATATATTAGAATAAAAACATCATGATGGGGCTGGGAGCAGTAGCTTATGCCTATAATCCCAACACTTTGGGAGGCTGAGACAGGAGAATCACTTGAGGCCAGGAATTTGAAGTGAGCCTGGGCAGCATAGCTGGAACCCCATCTCTACAAAAAAAATTAAAAATTAGCTGGGTATGGTATATGTGCCTTTAGTCCTAGCTACTTAGGAAGCTGAGGTGGGAGGATTGCTTAAGCCCAGGAGTTCAAGGCTACAATGAGCTTTGATTATGCCATTGCACTCCAGTCTGGGGAGATCTTGCCTCAAACAGATAAATAAAAATAAAACATCAACACTAAACCGTGTTAATATAAGAATGGTTTCAGGGCAGAAAAAAATACATAAGTACAACATACATTATTAACCAAATAAAGTGAAAAAACTTAAGACATGAAAACAAAAGGCAACTCATGAGCTAAAATCTTTTGTTATAAAAAATGTTATTAGGCCAGGTGTGGTGGCTCACGCCTGTAATCCCAGCATTTTGGGAGGCTGAGGTGGGAGGACTGCTTGAGCCCAAAAGTTGGATACCAACCTGAGCAACATGGCAAAACCCCATCTCTACAGAAAGTACAAAAAAGTAGCTGGGCGCAGTGGCACATGCCTGTACTCCTAGCTACTCTGGAGGCTGAGGTGGGAGAATTGCTTGAGACCAGGAGGTCAAGACTGCAGTCAGGCATGATGATGCCACTGCACTCCAGCCCTGGGCAAGAGTGAGACCCCATCACACACACACACACACACACACACACACACACACACACACACGATATTAGAACAGGTGAATTTGAGAAATACATGGTAAGAGTATAACAAAATTTCTTGATTTTGATGTTTATATTGTTACAGTGTGAGAGAATGTCCTTGTGTATTAGTCAGTTCTCATGCTGCTAATAAGTTAGGTGTATTAAATGGTACAATCCCTTTGAAGAACGATCTGGCAAATTTAGTGACGTACAAAACATCCCATTCCTGTGCCTAACAATTCTGCTCTTAGCTATATAGCCTAGACTAGGGAAATTCTCACATGAAAAAGAAACCTAGACAAGAATGTTCATGACAACATTAGTCATAGAAAACAATACTGGAAAAACTAAATGCCCATTCACAGAACAGTTAATGGTGACATAGTCATGAAATGGAACATTATATTTAAAATGAAAGACTTAGAGTTATGTTTACCAAAATGGATAAATCTCAGAAATCTATAGACTTTGATAGAAATGATATCTGGGTAGAAGGTCTATCAGAGTTAGGTTCTTAGTATTTCATTAAAATATCTATAAAGAAGTTTCTTCACCATAATTCTTTCTCTTTGTGCATTTAACCCCTTGTAAGTAAAACCAACAGTAATCATAGGTGATAAGTTCTGAAAAAGTTCAAAATCAGAAAAATATGCTCCCCAATCTTCACCTTTAAAAACCCAAACCATGGCCAACTTGTTATTCTTTGTATCCAAAGTGTCATTTATGTATTCTTGTGTGTCCTACTCTAAAAGTACTCATATACTTTGAAGTATGTTTTCAAATAACTTACCAAACAATTTTCATGGGCAGCTATATTCTCTGATTGTGCAAAGTACAGGATATTATACTCGACATCTTTGGGGCAGAGGGCACATGTCCTTTTTTCCATCTTTTCTGCAACCTGAAAGACACCTATAAGTAATGTCCCTGATGAGAAGTAGAAAAGTGGAATTTCTTGGTCTCACTAACTCCTCTTCCAGTCTTAAAGTAGAAGGCAGGGCACTTGTTTTTATGAGAGATTCTTAATTCCCAGAGAGACAAAAAACTGGGGACCCAAGTGGAAAAGCAGCTTTAAAAAAATTTTTTAATATGCTAAGAAAAGAATGAGGTTATTTCTAAATGCCTAACAATGAGGACTTCTTTTTTTTTTTTTTTCCCTAAAACATCCTGTTATAGCAGACTTCTTTTTTAAATTTAGAGACAAGAGGCTTGTTCTGTTGCCCAGGCTGGAGAGCAGTGGCTGACTGGAGCCTTGAACTCCTGAGCTCAAGTGATCCTCTCAAGTAGCTGAGACTATAGGTGCATGCCACCACAGCCAGCTTTTTTTTTTTTTTTTCCAAGAGACCAGGGTCTTGCTATGTTGCCAGGGCTGTTCTCAAGCGCCTGGCCTCAAGTGATCCTTCTGCCTTGGCATCTCCAAAATGCTGGGATTACAGGCATAAGCTACTGTGTCCAGCCAAAATGAGGAAGACCTTTATTCAAGAAACACAACTAGGAATTTAAGTATTGGTAAAGCTCTCAAAACACTGCCTTGCCTATAGCAAGCTCTCAATAATAATCATCATTGTCATTACAAATGAAGAAGAAAAAAATAGCATATTCAAGAAATAGTTCCCTGGTTAATTATCTATTTAAAAAAGTTAGAATCCGAATGCCATACTGTATTAAAAAATAAATTCTAAATACTATAAGAATTAAAGACATAAATGAGCAATGTATTTTAAGTGTGCTTTAATTCAATATTAGGATTAGTTAGGAAGGAAAGATATATGAAGGTAGGAAGTAGATTTTTTTTTAAGGCAAGAAATGGAAGAAAGGAAAGAAATCTAAAGAAGAGGTATCTAAAGAAAATTCTTTAGAAATCTATAGAAAAGGCAAGAGGCAAAGAGAGAGAGCGAGAGAAAGAATTCAGTACAGCTAGAATTCATTACTAGGAACGGAATGCATCTTTGCATTCCTGGTACGCACATCTTTAGAATTTATAAATAGGAATAAGGATGTGTGTGTTATGGAGGAAGGACCACAGGCAGCCAAAGTGTAGGATGTTCAATGTACTCCTTTAGGGTACCTATTCAGCTCACAATGATGTATACACAATGACCCCAGCAGGCATGTTTGTACTTCAATCCTCTAGACACAGCTGATAGTCCCAGAGGACTTACCTGCCCATCTCTCAGTTATACAGAATTCAGAATAGAAGATTTCAGTTCAGACTGGGCTGGTTTCTTAAAGAAGATAAAAAACTGAGAGGCTGTGAGAGCAGCCAATCTTCTATATTATTACCAGGAAAACTGGGCCAGAGAAATACAGAGAAAAACAAAGCAGATACACTGAGAAATGCAGAAATGAGAGACAAAAGAGAGTGTTGTCAAAGTTTATAATGACTTCTCAGGTCCTAGTCCTCGGCCCTTTCTGTAAGATGCTAAAGCATCCACACAGTAGGGAGTCTCTGAGTCTGGTCTTCCTGCTTACTACTACTAAGCATCCCTATGCTTAAATTATATCAAGTTGTTTTTGTAGTACTTGCAGCCAGTAAGTACTTATTAACACTGGAATGACCATGACCTGATCTGTGTGCACACTCACATGTGTATATGTGTTTGTGTGCACATGTGTGTTTAAGAGAAAGACAGTGCTGGCAGCGATGTGGAAGGAAATGTACTACGTTACTATCAGAATGATCCACCTGAAAAGTACTACATTACCGACAGAATGTTCTACAGGAAATGTACTATGTTACTGTCAGAATGATCTACCTGAAATGCACTGTTATGTCAGAATGATCTACCTGAAATGTACATCTGCCCACAATTCCCTATCACCTACAGAAGTCAAGGTCCATAGTGTTATATACAAGCACATTCATTCCTTCAAGAAATATTTCATGAGGACCTAGTATTATTTAATATTTAATGAGTACCTGCTATGTCCTACTACTACAACTAGGCCAACTATTATAGACACTAGGGATAGAAGAGAATAAGATGAATTTACATGCCAGTGGTCAGTGATAGAGACAGGTATTTAAAAAGTTTTGCTTTGTTTTGTTTTCTAGGTAGTGATAAGTGCTATATAGAAAAATAGAGCAGAAGGAGGTAGAGAGTGACAGGAGCAGGAGCGAGGGGTGCTCTTTTAGACAGGATGGACAGGCAAGGTTGTGGGAAGATGTACATGAGCAGACACCTGAATGTGATGGGGAACTGAAAACAGGATGGAGTTTTCCTTGAAGAGAATAGCAAATAGATCCTGAGGCAGGGACAGCTTTGGTGGCTTAGAGGACGTACAAGGTAGCAAGTTAGTATGATCATTAAGATGGGCAGGAGTCAAATCAGATAAGGACATGGGGTTAACTGTAGGCCAGGCTCACAGACTGTTCTCAGTCATGGGAGACTACTGGTGGGTTTTGAGTAGGACAATCACATTTGCTTTTTGTTTTTCAAAAAGCATTTTGGCTGCTAGGCAGGCCTGCCTGTCTGAAAGGCTAGAATAGAAGCCAGGAAAGCAATAGTCCAGGCAGAATATCATGATGGCTTAGGCTTGGGTGGCAGTAATGGAACTGGTGAGAAGCAGGCTCAAGATACAGTCAGGCTAAAGACAGAACTGGCTGGCCTGACTAATGCATTAGAAAAAGTGTAAAGAGGCCCTGAGGATGCCACTAAGGTTTTTGGAAGGAGCAACTGGGTGAATGGAATGGGCTGGTTGTTGAGCAGGTTTGGAGCACCTGAGTACAGTGGGGGAAACAAGAATTCTCTTTAGGACATACTCAGTTTGAGATCATTTCAGTCATGGAAGAAGCTGGTCCTACCAGTCTGGAGTTTGGGCAAAAGGTCAGGACACAACTCTCCTGACTCATCTTACAGCCCATATGTACACCAGCAAATGAAATATCCATCTGATTGGCTTGTGATGGCCATGTATGGTGTTTTGGGGTTTGATGCCTTTATTTGTGTCATCCTCTCTGCTGGGAATACCCCTTCAACTTTTCCACCTTTGGCTGAATCTAGCCCTTTAAAAGTAAGCCCAGGCGTCCTCTCCTCAAAAAGCTTTTCCCTGAACACTGGGAGTCAGGAGCCTCTGGTCAGTACCTCTATGGTTCTGACTTCCTTCTATTAGTTTCCTAGCACAGTCTCTAGCGCAGGGCCTGCCTCACTCATCTTTGTATGCTCAGGACCTTACCCTGAGCCTGGCACACCGTTAGGAGCTGGCACACATACTCAACGGCAGGAACCCATCAGAAGACCCACCCACTCAAGTAGAGGAACGGGGAGGACTGGAATGACTGGAGAGGAGCAGACGGGTTCCAGTCACGTCCTCCGTGAACGTGAGACTCAGCTCTTCCTCCAGGGACGCCCCTACCTCCCCGCAGCAAGGCGCCCCTCCCATTGTTCTGGTTTACCTGTGGGTGGAGGGGCGCTAGGAGGGTTGACATCGGAGGTGCGGGAAGCACTAGGCTAACACCGGGAGAGGTAAATCGAAGCATGCCCGCCTCTCACGAGAAACCATGGGCAGTCAGAGCCACCTGCGGAACTGGCCGCGCCCCATCCACCGGCACGTGAGTTCTGAGCCAAGTTCGTCCAGTGTGGCTCTGGCGTCTGGGGCCCGGGCCTGGAGTAGTAGCAGGTCGGGGCCCTCAAGCGGCCACTACCGAAAGGCAGGCCCCTTGACCGGGTCCGTCGCTACCCAGCCCTGCCGGCCCGCACCCGCGGTACTCACCGGTGGGAAGGAGGAGCGCCTCCTGCTCCGGCTGGGCCTCCCAGCTGCCAGTGCTGTGCATTGACTCCGGCAGAGGTGGTGACGCCTGGGCCATGGCTGTGCTGCAACTGCTGGTGGCGGCCGGATCACGAGATCCCGGAAGTGCCCCGATGCACCAGGTTTCGTTTTCTTGAATCTGGGCCGTCCCTTTCAGTCACTAGCCAGCCCGGGGAAAGTTGTGTGTACAGATAGGGGTTCTCACGCACTCATTCAGATCGACATCTTAATTTGAATAGCTTAAAAAACCCAAACACCTGGCTTCCCTACCCCACCCCCACGGCTCAGCGGGAGAAACAATCACTTCCCTGAGGGTTTCTCCTAAAAATTTTCTCCTACAGAGTTTGGTCTAAATTACCATATCTTAAAATGACACAGAATTAACTGATCCTAAATCCATTTGCCAGCAGCAAGCCTTTATTTAGCACCCATAGGGTACAGAGCACCATACAAGTCGAGGTTTTTAGTGCATTTAACAAATATACAGGTAGAGAACATAAATGCATATAATCATAGTTACAAAATAACTTGTTCTGGAAAAAAGACATAACAGTTGGTGGTTTGCTGAGGAATTAAAAGAAAACTGGAGATCTTCCACTTTCAGCAGGTTGTAAAGAGGAAGACTGCAAACTGGGACAGCAGAAAAGAGAAATATTAAAAAGGACAATTTGTTTAGTCTTGACAACTATGAAATTAACTGCAGAAGCAAGAGTTTGGGGTCTGCAAAACAGGGAGGCCAATTTTTTTTTTTTGCCCTCCATACAGGAGGATGGAAGAGTATTTCTTGCCAGGCCAAAATGAAAGGCCCTAAAGAGACTGACATTAGGGTGTTCCTCAGCAAAGTAGCTCAGGTAGGTCATAGTAAAACAGAGCCCTTTACCACACTCTCAGCTTACAATAAGCTTTTTGGTGTTCCACACTTAAATAGGAGTAGACCACCAAGACCATTAACTCTGAGGAAAGCCTATAATGTGGAAGATCAAGACCAAAACAAACATACAGGGGAAACAAAGAAACTCTGGAAGACAGAGATTATGCAGAAAGAATATACAGATGCGTACATGTATGTGTATGTATATGTGTGTGCATACACATACACGCATATATCTTCAAAGATAAAATACTGCAAACATGAGTAAAATAGGATGATATTTTAAAAAAGAATATTCAGAGATGGGGAGCTCTCAGAAATATGAGACTAGAAAAATAGAATGCAACAGATGAACCGGAAGATTAAATTGAGAAATGGTCCTAGGTAAAGGTCCCAGCAAGAAGACAGAACTGTAAGTTAAGAGAAAATATAGGAAAATTAGAGATCAATTCTGGGGGTCTAACATCTGGAAAACAGGAATTCCAGAAAGAGAGAACAGATGGAAAATCATTAGTTTCAGACTGAATGATCTCACTAGGCACCCAGTAGAAAGGATGAAAATGGACTCTTAACGGGGGCAGAACGTGGAGACAAAGATAAACCTATAAGCTTCAAGAGAGATACAAATGAATTACATATGCAAAAGAGAAGGAACAGAATGGCATTCCATTTCCAGTAGTCACCCTGGAAGCCAGAAGACAGTACATTTTCAGACTCCACAGCAGTAACACTGAAAGCTAGCAGATGCCTTCAAAACTGGGCATGGAGACCACTCAATAATTCTATACCTTGCCAACCAAAACAGCAATCAAGTTTAAGTGTAAAATAAAGACATTTTCAAACACACAGAGATTCAAAACATTTACTTCTCACTTTTCCTTTTCAAAAGCTATCAGAAGAGCTTTACCAATATGTGGAAGGGTAAACCAAGGAAAAGGAAAATAATGGGATCTAACTGGAAATGGGTCCAACATAAGAGACAAAGGGAATCTCTGGGTTATGGATGAATGATGATAACTGTGAACCAGTCCAGATTAAAGCAAATCAACATTTCAGGAGAAACTTCTCCAAGAGGATAAAACTAACAGAAAACCTTATATTTCTTTCAAAAGGTCAAATGGACTCCACAGGCAGAGCTCAAAGGAATACTGTCTGATCCACAGTATTTCCTTTTGCACAAAAATATTTCCCATATTGATTTAAGTTTTCTTTTTTCATTTCAGTACACTGCCTGAAACTCCTGCATCTCTACAGTGAATAAATGGATTTCTCAACTTTCCTCATCAGCAGCTTGCTGGGCTGTTTTGCTACTTTTCCTAGCTGTCTGGTTTCCCAGTCTGCTTGGGCTTCCCAGTCCCCCTTTCCACTAGATAGATGATCAGGGCCAAGTAACCTATGGTAAAGTGCTTACTCTTTTGCTTTTTCGCTAAAAAAACAATTTGCAAATCATGCTCACGAGATACTAAGGGGCTATTTCAGATTTCACAGTTCAGAATTGCTTTCTTTTCTCATGTGTGCGTTTTTTATTTGAGACAGGGTCTTGCTCTATTGCCCAGGCTGTTAGTGCTGTGGTGAAATCACGTCTCATTGCAGCCTGGACCTCCCGAGCTCAAATGATCTTCCCACCTCACTCCTGAATAGTTGGGACTACAGGAACATGCCATCAAGCCTGGCTAATTTTCCTATTTTTTGTAGAGTCAGGGTTTTGCCATGTTGCCCAAGCTGGTCTCGAACTTCTAGGCTCAAGTAATCCACCTGCCTCTGCCTGTCAAAGTGTTGGGATTACAGGTGAGAGCCATCATGCCTGTCCTTCTCGTGTTTAAGTGAAATTCTTGCCCACCTCAATTCCTTCTGGCCTAAATAAGCCAAGTTTGACTATTTTCTAGGTTTCCTTTTCAATAACTATATCTCTAGTCTGTCTAGAACAAAAATATTCAAGTTCTTCCAGGTTTCTATTCCCTCTTTTCCTATGTTTGTATTGAAAGAGTAGAGAATATCCATGGAAAAGAAGATTCATCTCAAAGAGTTTGCCAGAATCTTACAGAAGAGCTTCTCCCTTTCCCCACTCAAATAGTTGATGGGACAGTGTTTTACGGATCCAAGTATCACTTCTCCAACAAGTGTTAAAATACTGGGAGTAATATGCATAAAATGAGTTCCTCAGGCACTGTTGTCCACTTTGTAGCTCATAATGGCAAATGATTTTCCAGGAATTAAAAATCAATTTCGTAGGTAAAAGTGTGAAATTTAGCTCTTTGGGGCATGAACTAAAAGGTAACAGTCACAAAAGCAATTAGCAACAGTTGAATTTTGTTATGACATTTGTTTCTCTTAATATATAATTTCTAAATAAATTATAAGTTGGACAGTGGTATTTCATATAAAATATACACTTCCATCCTACTAATGTAAAGCTGCACAGCAGTGAACGAGATACCCTATGTGCATGAAAATGTCCTAATTGTGTTCCTGGAATTTCTAAGTCACATAAATAAAATCTAAATAAATATGAACCCAAATGACAAAGGAAACAAAGGGGAATTATCCCGATGCACCTATACCTTCTTTTGCATGGCTTTAATTTCAGCCTGATAAGCTAATTTGACAAACAGGCATTAGCTACATATTTATAATATTTTTTTTCTACATTTATTAACCCCACATTGGCAGAAGATTTCCTTTTCAGGCACAGTCCCAGCTTCATAACCATAATCCCATGTTAGCTCTGTCCTTGCTTTCACATACCTAGAAAGTAGAAATTTAAAAAGAATCATAAAATACCCTAAAGAACTACCAATCAACCAAACTTAACTATATCCATTTTCATAGTAACATTAACCATCCTCAAAAAATATGATTTATTCTCTCACCTGACACCCACCGATTAAGAATGACCTTTTATTAAGAATAACCATTTGAGTTCTATTTCTAATCTACTAAAATGTTAATCAAGAAGGAACCTCAATCAATATGAGGAAGAAAGTATATTTTGCCAAGAGTGGGACCACGTGATATGTTGAGGCCTGCAGTGTGGAAGTAGCTGGGGAATAGCTCTCAATTAAAGATTACGTAGCACTCTTCATCATTTATCCCGAGTGGAACTGGGTGATACCTGATATCCTCAGCCTTTTCAGGCATTCATTCTAAGTGGGAATAAGAATTAAAATTTCAGGTGTTCAAAATCTTACTGACTAGGAACAGTTTAGGATAACTGAATATTCTACAGTACAAGATATTTGGGGCTACAGTATATTTCATCTTTTTATATTTTTCTATTGTTATCATTTTTTGAGACAGGATGCAAACTCCACCTCTTGGGCTGAAGTGATCCTCCCACCCCAGCTTCCCGAGTAGCTGGCCACCACACCTGGTGAACTTTTTGTATTTATTTATTTATTTTTTTAGTAGAGACAGGGTTTCGCCATGTTGCCCCAGGCTGGTCTCGTACTCCTGAGTTCAAGCGATCTGCCCACCTTGACTTCTCAAAATGCTGGGATTACAGGTATGAGCCACCATGCCTGGTCCTCTATTGTTATTTTTAAAGTCATGATTTCAGAATTAAGTAAGCAAAATCAATTTCAAACCTGTTGGTGAAGAATGCCACCAATGGAAAATTCCTGTCGTGGGTTTCTACAAAAACATTCTGTACCAAGAGATTTGGGCAACAACTATGCTGTTAAATAAAAAATAAATACCAAGGTTAGAAACAGCGTAAAGTTTGATAACTTGTGCTTTAGCATTAGAATACCATTCTGTTTTTAATCCATCATGCTGATTTTGTTCTTTTTTTTGCTAATGTATAAAATATCATAGCTTCTGTTAATAGTGAGAACCTTCAGAAAAGCCCTGTTCTGACACTCTTGTATGTTGCTGATAGAAATGCAAAAATGGGACAAATCCCTATAAAATCTGTCAATATTTGTCATTATTATAAATGCATTTGTGTTTTGATTCTGCAATCTCATATCTAGAAATGTATTCTACAGATTCATCTGCATATGTGTCTATGTGTAAAATTATTCATTGAATGGTGTTTTTAATGCTGAAGGTTTGGAAATAACTCAAAATATCTGCCTAAAGGGGAATGGTTAAATAAACTCTGGTACACAACAGAATTCTGTGTGTCTATAAACAAAAGCATACAAAAAAGAATGAGAAGCTCTGTGTATTAATATGGAAATTATTCCACAACATGTGTGTAGCAATATGGAAAATACTGTCACAATATACTTTTTTTTTTAGACGGAGTCTCACTTTGTCGCCCAGGCTGGAGTGCAGTGGCATGATCTTGGCTAACTGCAACCCCTGCCTCCCAGGTTTAAGTGATTCTTGTGCCTCAGCCTCCCAAGTAGCTGGGATTACAGGCATGCGCCACCATGCCTGGCTAATTTTTTTTGTTTTTGTATTTTTAGTAGTGATGGGGTTTTGTCATGTTGGACAGGCTGGTGTCAAACTCCTGACCTCAAGTGACCCTCCCGCCTCAACTTCCCAAAGTGCTGGGATTACAGGCGTGAGCCACCATGCCCGGCCCAATATACTGTTAATTTAAAAAACAAAGTATAGGACAGTGAATCTAATATGCTATGTTTTATGTTTTAAAAAGTGGGAGAAATGAGGCCAGGCACAGTGGCTTACGCCTGTAATCCCAGCACTTTGGTAGGCCGAGGCTGGTGGATCACTTGAGGTAAGGAGTTCAAGAGCAGCCTGGCTGACATGGTGAAAACCACGTCTCTACTGAAAATACAAAAATTAGCCAGGCATGGTGGTGCGTGCCTGTAATCCCAGCTACTCGGGAGGCTGAAGCAAAGAATCGCTTGAACCTTGGAGGCAGAGGTTGCAGTGATCCGAGATTTCACCACTGCGCTTCAGCCTGGGCTACACAGCAAGACTCCATCTCAAAAAAATAGAGGAGGAGATATAAGAACACATGTTCATATTACTTATATTTTAGAAAGGAAACACTGGAAGAGTACACACACAAAAAAGAGTAAAGGCCAGGCGTGGTGGCTCATGCCTGTAATCCCAGCACTTTGGGAGGCTGAGGCGGGCAGATCATGAGGTCAAGAGATCAAGACCATCCTGGCCAACATAGTGAAACCCTGTCTCTACTAAAAATACAAAAATTAGCTGGGCATGGTGGTGCATGCCTGTAATCCCAGCTACTCGGGAGGCTGAGGCAGGACAATTGCTTGAACCCAGGAGGCAGAGGTTGCAGTGAGCCAAGATCGCGCCACTGCATTCCAGCCTGGCAATGGAGTGAGACTCCGTCTAAAAAAAAGAAAAAAGAGTAAACATGATGATTGATAGAGAGAAGGTAGAGTGGGGACATGGGAAATGGAAGTGCAGTACTTTTCAAGGTATGGCTTTTTTAACAAAAAGTTTTCACAAAGAAAGTTTAATATGAAGATATACAGAACCTAATTTTTACATCATTGTAACAAACAAGTCTTTTGGAGAGGAGATATTGTAAGCAACTAATTTCTCTGTTGAACTCAGCCATAAGGTGTCTTCATTCCAAAGCTTCTAAACAGATGATATCATTTCCTCATATTACCACTAATTCCAGTATTGCTCTGCTGCCCACTCTATATATTCATCATGTGATTGATTAATGTCTCTAATCCCAGCTACTCAGAAGGGTTAGGCATGAGAACTGCTTGAACCCCAGAAGTGGAGGTTGTAGTGAGCCAAGATCACGCCACTGGTGACAAAGTGAGACTCTGTCTCAAAAAAAAAGAAAAGAAAAGAAAAAAAACCCAGTATGTGGTAATCTTTCTATATTAATACATCATCAAATCCCAACAATATTCTTTGGACATGTCTGTCACCATTTAATTTCACTGATAACTTCCTATCCATTTTTTTTTCAACTCAGTTAAGTGAGCTTGAAAACCTTCTGACATATTTGTTATTTTTTTTATTTTAATTTTTTTTTTTTCTTTGAGACCGAGGTTTGCTCTGTCTCCCAGGCTGGAGTACAGTGGTGCGATCTCAGCTCACTGCAACCTCTGCCTCCTGGGTTCAAGCAATTCTCCTGCCTCAGCTTCCTGAATATCTGGAATTACAGGCATCCACCACCATGTCCAGCTAATTTTTTGTATTTTTAGTAGAGATGGGGTTTCACCATCTTGGCCAGGCTGGTCTTGAACTCCTGACCTCGTGATCCACCTGCCTCGGCCTCCCAAAGTGATGGAATTACAGGCGTGAACCACCGCGTCTGGCCCCTTCTAATATATTTAAATATTTTCTTATATACCATTTCCTATAGTTTTTAAAAAGCAAAGGTTTACTCTGTGCTAGGCACTGTTCTAAGCACTTTATGTTAATTTATTCACACAACATCCTGAGACAGTTACTATTTATCTCCATATTACAAAGGTAGAAAGTATGGTATCAGAGATCAAGCAAAACATCCAACCGTATACAAGTGGAGGACTGGAATTCTAACCAGATAGCCTGACTTTAGAGTCTGTTTATCATATTTTCCTCATAATTTCGTTAAGTAGCATAGAAAAAACAGTTGTTCAGAAATAGGAATCTCAGCTCTTATACTCACATTAAGGAAGCGGCCAACATTTCCTTCTTTTGTGGCATCCAATAAAAACACATTCCCTTTACTGAACTTTGTTAGAGAATCAGATGAAGTATTCTCGGTTTCACTCAGCAATTCTTCATCACAAAAGACCTGCTGTTTTTGACATGTTGTAGACTGTTCCTCTTGGGGCTTCTGTATTTGAACCTCAATTGCCTTTTTAATATTCTGATTATCCAATGTGGTTGCCTGGTTACATCTGCTCCCTGGTGGAGTTTCTTCTCTACATTTAGTTATATCTATCACATCTGATTCAATCAGCAGATTATCTTCAAAGTCATCAACATGGTTTGAACTTGAGTTCTCTAATAGACATTTTGGAAGGAAACATCAGGAAATACAGTTGCTGAGCAATAGTGCTGAAATTAACAACACTTATTAGATGGTAGGTGCTTTAATTATCAATCCTTACAATGTGTTAGGCAAATAGCATTTATTTAATTGTATAAAGGAGACTTTGAGTATCTAAGGGATTAAGAGATTCATCTGACCCACAATAACGAGAACTTGGGTAACAAACCCAGAAATGTTTGAATCCCAAAGTTCTGCCTTCTACTATGTAAGAATGCTTTTTCATTAATCTACATCTTGCTTCTTCATTATTATATTTAATATCTACTCTTTTTAATTCTGGAATCTGCACTTAAGCATGTTCTAAACAAATATAACAGAATGGGTGTTATGGAGGCACTCTAGGCCTTTATGCTGCCAATAAAAGGCCTAACCCTGACAGAGTCACCCTCCACAAGTCCCAACAGTGACAACTGTATTGCTAAGGGTTTTTCATATATTAGTGTTTGGTGTTTTACTAGATGAGCATTCAAAAATTACACTTTTATAAACAATAATCCTTTAAAAGTAGATGCACTATTTAATCATTTTTCTTATCCAATAAGGAAAATAATTTTTTGACAGTATTCAAAAGGATGAATGTGGCTGGGCATGGTGGCTCACATCTGTAATCCCAGCACTTTGGGAGATCAAGGCAGGAGGATGCTTGAGGCCAGGAATTCAAGACCAGCCTGGGCAACAAAGTGAGACCTCATCTCTACAAAAAAAAAAAATTAAAAAAAATAAATTAGCCAGCAAGGTGGGGTGTGTCTGTAGTCCTGGTTGCTCGGCAGACTGAGGTGGGAAGATTGTTTGAGCTCAGGAATTAGAAGGTGCAGTGAGCTATGATCCCACCACTGCACTCTAGCTTGGGTGACAGAACAAGATGCTGTCTCTCTTTAGGAAAAAAAAATAAAGTATGAACGCATGTCAGATGGAGTAAGTATAAATTACTTATTTTAAAAGAGCCACAAAGCTATTTGTGCCATCTAATTCAATGGCACAAAAAAATTATTTGTCTAAAATTAAGGCTCTTGATTTAATCATCACCATTGCTGGCTGCCGTTCCTACATGTACTCATATTTTAATCATGAGTTACATGTAAGCTATAACATAACTTTGGATTTTTTTTTTTATACAAAACGTATGTAACTTTTGACTGTGCACCACATAGAGTCAGAGTTGTCCAGCCCACCACCCCTCTTACCATGCATCAAGTCACTACTGGCAATTAGACCAGAGGTCAGCAAAGTTCTTCTTTAGAAGGCAAAATAAACTGTAGCAGTCAATGAAAAGGGCAAAAGAACCAAAAGCAACGGTATGCATTGTGACTCACACGCATGGTAAAATAAATATAATATACAAAATGCCCTTCCTTGACAGACCTTTTCTATCAATGAACTGCTGTGTCTCCTCCAATCTCCATCCTTTAATATTATGTGGAGAGCTGGGGATGCAGGGGAGAAGAGACAGCAATGACTCACCAATTCTTCACAAATGGACATCTCTCAGCAATGTCTCCTTGTGAAGGACACAGTGAAATGCAAAAGTACCAAAAACAACGGTTGTGCAGTTGTAATATTAACTATGGCAAGGACTAGTAACTGAAACACAAGGACTCAGGGTGGCAATATTTTGGCCTTTTGCTAGAATCATGCTGAGTATGCTCTGCGGAAATATTGGCTAGGCAATTGCAGGAGAGTGATGTGTGTTTATTTAAAAGACATCTACAAAGAGTTTGAAAGTGGCTGCTTTGCACAATGATTCCAAAGCCACAGATAATATCTGTGCACCACATAGAGTCAGAGTTGTCCAGCCCACCACCCCTCTTACCATGCATCAAGTCACTACTGGCAATTAGACCAGAGGTCAGCAAAGTTCTTCTTTAGAAGGCAAAAGAGCAAATATTTTAGGCTTTGCTGGCCATGTGGTCTCCGTGTGATTATTCAATTCTTGCTGTAATGTTGAAGCCGACAATATGTAATGCAAATTGGCTGTATTCTAATAAAACTTACTTTTTTTGAGACAGGGTCTTGCTCAATCGTTCAGGCTGCAGTGCAGTGACACAATCATAATTCACTGTAACCTCTAACTCCTGACCTCAATAATCCTCCCATCTCAGCCCCCTGAGTAGCTAAGACCACAGGTGTGCACCACCACACCTGGCTAATTTTGTTGCTGTTGTTGAGACAAGATCTTGCTATGTTGCCCAGACTCATGGCCTCAAGCAACCCTCCTGCCTTGGCCCCCAAAGTGCTGAGATTATGGGCTGAGCTACTGCACCTGGCCAAAACTTTATTTCTGGACACTAAAATTTCATATAATTTTCAAGTGTCAAAATATTATCACTTTCTGATTTTTTTTCAACTATTTAAAAATGTAAAAATCATTCTTAGCTCACATGCTATAGTGAATAGGTAGAGGGCCAGATTTGGCCCACAAGCCATAGTTGGCTGACCTCTTACAGAGATAAGTTGTAACCTTTGTGACAAAGGCCGCATGTTTATTATAGCATCTAAGAAAATGAGCTACAGGTATTGAGCAAGACACAGAGAAACAGGCAGAAGATGTAGGCATTCACTGAAGAAACAAAGCCTACTTTGTGCTCCCTTGGTTTCAGAGTTCAGATGTTCTTGGGTTGGTTTAAATCCATCATGATCTTCCGGAGTGACAGACTCTGAGGAAACAAATTCCTTAAAAAAACAAGGAAGATATCTTTACTTTCCAGGTCAGGAAAAAGTATTTAGCAGTTAGGCCTCTTTTATCAAGTGTCAATCATCATAGTCTGTATGTACTAGATTCTAAGTCTGAAAAGCCTCAAAGCTGGTATCATGGAGCCAATGGGCTAATGAAGCCAGTATGTGTCAAACTCTTTGACTGTGTTCTACTCCTAGGTGCTTTATTAAGTCACAGCTATAAAGACTGTCAAGAAATTCTTTGGGAATTAAAATCTTAATACATCTGTCTGTAACCCCCAATTCTAATCATCCTCAGTACTGAGAAAGTGTTATTACTAGATTACAAATTTGGCTTCAACTGTAAGTTGTGTAAAGACTAAAAACACTCATTGGCTAGTTTCTACTTCAAAGAAAGGTTAATGAATTTGACAGTATTTATGCATTGTAGACACTTTAAATAGTAATGCTAACTTTAAAAGAGGGGTATATGCTTAGCACAATGCTTGGCAAACAACTAAGTGTTCAATACACATTGACCGTATTATTACTATGAAAGTTCTCAGTATCTGAATGGTCAACATGTATTGAGCACTTAGTTGGATGCTAAGCATTATGCTAAGCAACTTTTAGATACTTATTTCATTTAATCCTCATAACTCTGAAACATATACTATTATCTTTTTACAGATAAAAGAAATGTATGTATGGAGATACCACCCAGCTAGCAGGCAGCAGAGCTGGAGGTTAAACCTGGGTCTGTGTGACACCATGGCCAATCTTTTCATAATTCTCTGACCCTAAGGAGGTAGCTACTGTACCATTACCAGGGAGAGGGCAAATATTTGTGTAGCACCTAGAGCAGAGTTTTTACTTTTCATCCACAAGCCCTAATATAAGCTACCATTATGTCTCTCTCCATTCTCTTTCCTCTTTCTTTGCTTCTATGTTTTAGTCTCTGACTAATCTTCTAAGTTCAGACTGCAAAGGGTACCCTCAGAGGCTACCACATAAAATACTTCTGGATGATTCTTTCATAAAGTTACATCTCTTCTTTCTCCTACATCTTAAAACCTTTGGCTGGGCACAGTGGTTCATGCCTGTAATCCCAGCACTTTGGGAGGCTAAGGCAGGTCGATCACCTGAGGTCAGGAGTTTTAGACCAGTCTGGCCAGCATGATGAAACCCTGTCTCTACTAAAAATACAAAAAGTTAGCTGGGCGTAATGGCAGGCACCTGTAATCCCAGCTTCTTGGGAGGCTGAAGCAGCAGAATCGCTTGAACCCAGGAGGCGGAGGTTGTACCATCGCACTCCAACCTGGGCAACAAGAGTGAAACTCAGTCTCAAAAACAAAACAAAAAAAGCCCTTCTTCTCCTTTACCTAACTTATTTCGTCCCTTTTCTTATCATAGATCAATATTAACTCTTGAACACTTTAGTTTCTCCCACAAATTCTCAGAATGGGCTACCTCTCAGTCTCAGTGGAGCACACACTGTCAGATCATGACGAGCATTCTCCTTATATAGCCAGGCTGGAAACATGCCAACTGCCGTGGACAATGCTAAGTAAATAGAACACGGTCCTAGCATTTCCAAAGTGTACCATTCCAAAACAATAAAAGAAATTCTACATGCTATAAAGTAACACAAACATTTTGAGCTAAGTAAAGGAAAGGAAGGCATCTCAGAAGGGCCCCATCAGCTGGGCACAGTGGCTCATGCCTATAATCCCATCACTTTGGGAGGTTGAGGCATGACAACTGCTTGAGCTCAGGAGCTAGAGATCAGCCTGGGCAATATATTGAGACCCTGTCTCTACTAAATAAGAGCCAGGCATGGTGGTGTATCCCTGTAGTCCCAGCTATTCAGGAGGCTGAGGCAGAAGGATCACTCAAGCCTGGGTAAGAGTGAGGCTCTGTGTCCAAAAAAAAAAAAAAAAAAAGATTTAAAAATAAAAATTGAAAAAGAAAAGAAGGGCCCCATCTACATTTTGCAGTTTTTACCATTTTCTTCCCATTGTGTTGAAACATGGCTGTCTTGGATTCAGGACCTCTAATAACTGAATGATATTGAATTCTTGAAATATTGCTATACTTCATTTCCCTAAAAAGGAAAAAAAAAAGCGATCCTATATCACTAAAAATTATCTTCATTCTCTTTATTGAAGTACAGATAATATCCATTATTACATAAATATCCATAATAATAAATTAATTAAGAACATCTATGTTTATTCCATTCCTAGAGAAGGGAAATAAAATCATACTTTAAATAATTTTTGAAGTACATTTTAAAAAAGGAAGAGAACCTATGAAAACTTTGCAGATAAAATGGAAAAATTTTAAAAACAGTAAAACTTATAACATTCATAAAAAAACCTGATTAAAGTCATATAAGGTAAATTCCAGAAAATGGAACACTGAGGATAGTATGTTGGCTAGATTTTTAAATGTCCTGGATGTCTCAAAGTGTTAGACTTAACAACTTTAAAGCAAGATGATAAATACAAATGAGAAAAGAAAGAAAGAGGGGAAGGAAAAAGAACCAATCAATCCATAATAATTTAGATTTACTCTGGGTTCCTCAGCTGTTACTTACATAGTAAACTCCTTGGGATTATTACTGAACTTTGGCGAATATTTCTCAGTTTTAGCACTTTTAGGATGTGTTTCCAATCCTAATGGGATAACTTCAACTTCACAATCCGAACATGCAACTTCTAATTTCCTCTTTTTTGAAAAAACATTTTTCATAGTATTCTCATCTCTCCTGTTTTCATCGACACCATTAGATTTCTCAGTGTTAGCTCTGTTTAGTAATCTTCCTAAAAGGACAAATGTTCAAGAGTTTGAACAAGACTGAAGAGAATATAATTGATAAAAACAAATGAACACCTCTATTTCCACTCCATGACTAAAGAACCCATACTTTCTACAACGAAGATAAACACATTAACTCATCCCACAAAACTGCTGTAAGACAAAGACCAATGTGATATTTCTTATATTCCAGTATATTAAAAAATAGAGTATCTAAAAAAAAATCTGTTTGTTTTGGTATAACACAAAAGAGATTTAATTACAATAATACAAAACAAAGATATGGATCAGAAAGTACTCTAGAAAATTAGAGAGATAATCTCTAGTTATAAAATTGTAGCTTTTATGTCTAGTTAAAAAGGCTTTATCATCTGAAACTTACACTTTCCAACCAAAAAAGTACCTATTTAAATCTGTGGTGATTATGCACCTAGCATTGTCATATTAAGTCTTGCATAACTAAAATCTTAAAAGTTTATGCATTTTCTTTCAAGGTATTCAATATTACAGTTGCCAAGTCAAAATTAATAGCAGGATATTCTTACCTATCCTTAGATCAAAGACATAGCTTAGGTACATTTTCTAGCAACACAGATAAAACCAATGACACTTCCTGGACACCACTTGGCATTTTATAGGTAGCTTTCATTTAAGAGTTATTTTGAGAAGTATGAGAGATGAATGTCTAGGCAGGCTGCATAGAATGCAGATCTATAAGTGGGGAGTGGAAGGGATCCATAAGTGTAACTATTCTGAATTCATGTAACTCTGCAAGCTTCTTGTTCTCCCTGACATGAACCTGAAATTTTTCTCTTCTTTTTTAAGCACTTGGTCATGTAAACAGATAAACCTGATTTTTCAGATAAGGAATTTCAGAACGTGGTTGTTCTGTTTCCTGCTGTCTAGCTGCTGAGAGTAAGTCAAGGACAATCCCTTTAGACTGGCTCTAAAGCTGTGTTTCCCTAACTTTCTCACATAAGGATGTGCACAGAAAATAAGGGTTTTTGCTGTGTAGTCTTAGGCATTTGCCTGGAGATAAATGCTTAAGACTACTGAAGACTGATGTGTTTGGCCCTGGGGCTGTGGCCCTAAAGAATCAGTAATTGCACAACTGTAACACACTACTTGGGAAATTTCGCTCTGTAGCCCGGGCAACTCTCTGCAGTCCCCCAAATAGAGTGAGTTGCCTAAAGTCACTGACTAAATTATAACATGCAGGTATCATATTAACTTGTTAAATTCTAATAATAGCATAAAACATTGAATAAGGAAGTCTTTGACAGGTAATCTTTACCTTGGCAAGCCAGGCATTTAATTTTTTTTACTTTTAAAAAGTTTTCTACCCTTACCCCAAAGCACCTGTAGCCATGCAGACAACACAAATGTGCCTTGTAAAAAACAGGACCTCACACAATTACCCAAGTTTAATCTCTGAACCTTTCTTGTCTTGAACATGTGGTACCTCCTAAGGTATCTCAGAATACTCAAGTTCCCAGTTCCCATGCCTTCCTCTGATGTTCCTCTTAGATACTCTTACTCTTTACCTTGCTGTAAGCTCTCAATGGCCGTGGCTAGGAAAATGGATATTCAGAAAGGTAGATTCTACTCTGGAATAATTTGAAAATAAACCTTTGCTTTACCTGAATAAATACAAACAAATGTCCCTCTGTCAATGTCATCTAGGCAGCGTACCCCCCATCCTTTCTTCTCAGTTTTGAACACCTGTAGCCTCACTTGAGGACCATGTTGGACGACTCGGTTTTGACATAATTGTCGATTACATTTGCACAACAGGCTGCATTCATAAATGCTGTCAACAAATATGCAAAAGAGAAAATCAGACACCCCAAAGGGCAAAAAGCAGTTTATTTCCACTTCACTGGCACTGATAACTACTGAGGGAAGCAGGCTATATGTGAAAGCTTAGAGGTAGAGTGCCAGAGTTCACATCACAGATTCCACATTTACTAGCTGGATGACCTTAGATGAGTTATTTAACCTCTTTGTGCTTTACCTTTGCATTTTTAAAATGGGGATTATATGATAATACCCAGCTCATAGGGCTGCTTTGTGAAGATTAAGTGAGTCAGTACTTTGAAGGGTTGAAAATTCCCAATTCTCCAATGAGTTCTAGATGGTGTATTTTTAAATGGAAAAACGGCTGCCCAAAGTAGGCTGATCCTAGAGGGCTAAGAGCCAAGACTCAAAGCAAGCGAGTGTTCGAGTACACTGCATGATGTACATGTAGTCTCTGACTACCATTTCCATGAAAAATATACAGGTTTTTATTCCTTAATAATTCGAATTTTTAATATTAGAACCAAATTAAACCAGATTTAACAACATCTAGACCATGATAAAAAGTACCCACCTTCAAAGATATACACACCCTGCAACAAATCCTCAAGGTACCTTACCCAGTAGGTATTTGTCTCTGTAGTCTTTTATATTTATATCCAGTGGTTATTTTATCACTTGACAAGGGGGAAGTTTTGGCATTCCTTGCTGTCAGTTGAAGACATGCACATTTTGTTCTAAAAGGAAGGCAATGGATGGAGAAAGAAAGAAAAAGCACCAAGTTAAGTCAAGAGACTGTCTTGATAAAAGCATAAATGATGTACTAAAATATGTAATAGCATTTAGAATAGTTATTTGGGTCATGAACACTATGAACTTTTTCCCTAAATAGATCTCTTTGAAAGACAATACCTACCAAAAGTTCATAAATAAACTCCACTACATCTCTATTTGCTCATGAAATAAATACTTAACTATATGAGTCTAGCTTTTCAAAATTAATTCCTTTAATTTCCCTGTTCAGCACAGAAGCTTGTTTGTGAGAATTCTGCTAGTTCTTCCCTTTTACAATGGATAAAATACGTCAAATTTTTAAGGATGTAGTTTTGCAGATATCTTAAGTTCTCTCTCACTCCAGTGACACAAAAACAGATTGGGGAAATTGATACTGGGTATCTGGCTACTATTATAGAATCCTTTTTTTCATACTGTTGCGAGACAGGAAACTTGCAACCATTAAAACTCTCCCCTCTATTCAGATGATTAACTAACTTGACAGGGATCCATAATTCCATACAGAGTAAGGAGCTTTGGGACTCGAGCTGTATAACTAGATATGTGACTATGGTGAGCTGGTTAAAATCTCTGGATCTTAGTCATCTTTGCTGAACAAGTGACTTTAAGGTCTTTTCCTCTACAATTTTCTACATTTTCTGTGTTAATTAATACATGTCAGAATGGTGGTTGCCATTTGCAAGAGAAAAGAACAACAAGAAAAATCGACAAGTTCATTAATTTGGATTCTGTTTACAAATGTAAAAATCTATAGTTATTTTTTCCCATGTGATTTTGTATGCAAAGATTAAAAAGTACAGAAAAATACAGATAATAAACACCCACATTTCCACCATCCAGAATTAGTTGTCAGCATTTTGACTACTTCTTTTTCCTATGTACATAATTTAAAATATACACACCATATATATACCACGTATACATGGTCTTCTTAAGAAAAGTTAAAAAGTAAAACAATATTGATATAACTAAACTCTCAAGAGATTTACTGTGGCATCTTTTATGCTTTATATACACTTATATCTACAAACAATACATTGTGTATTTTTCATTATAAAAAATTACTACAGGTATTATTCTATAACTTGCTATTTTTGTTCAATATAATGTTTTTGAGACCCATCCATGCTATATAGAATCCAAATTAATGATTGAATCCAAATTAGGTATTGCTCACTTTATATACAATTAAGTTACTTAACAGTTTTTGTTTTATTTTTGGAGAAAGGGGTCTCACTCTGTTGCGCAGGCTGGAGTGTGGTGGCACAATCTTGGCTTACTGTAGCCGCGACCTCCCTGGACTCAGGTGATCCTCCCACCCTCAGACTCTTGAGTAGCTAGGACTACAAGTGCGTCCTACCACGCCAGGCTAATTTTTGTATTTCTGTAGAGATGCGGTTTCACTAGGTTGCCTGAGCTGGTCTTGAACTCCTGGGCTCAAACGATGTTCCTACCTCAGCTTCCCAAAGTGCTAGGATTACAGCCACGAGTCACTGTGTCCAGCCTCTTGGGACAGTTTAATTATACCTGTTTTAAAGTCTCTTTCAATCAGATTTGACATTTATCTCTGATTCTTCAAGTGTGAATTCTCCCTACTTGTCAGGTCTCATGCTGCCTTCATGATCCTAAACATCTTTTTGTGCTTTAAATGTTTGTTTGAAATCATACCGTCTGTGGGGTTTAGTCCTGTGTGCAGCTCTATGTTGGGTGCTTTCTCCACCGCTTTGGCTCTGACCCTATTGGTTTTACAGCTGTTAACAAGGTTTTCATTAATACAGTTCCAGGCCCTGTGAGATAGTGGCCTAGTTCCCAGTCTTGTGTAGGTACCTGTTTCTTTTCCTCTGGAGAGCCCAGTGCCCAGATAAAGTAGTTGGGTTACATTTAGAGGCAATCTTTACAAAATAAAATACATATTTTAAAACAGAATAAAACAGTACAGTGAGAGGTTTTCTCTATGAGAGGCCTCAAGGAACGGAGCCAAACTGAGGTAACAGTAGATATAGCTCTCATCTTACACTCCAATTAATAGAGGATGGTGAAAACTATTACCTATACTATTTTAATTATTTATCATTCTCTTATTCTTTTTTGCCTAATATAGGTAGCTAAATTTGCATTAAATTCAATGTACATATAAGGCAATGCTACTCTACATCTGTATACCTATAAATATGTGTACTACACAAGGATCTTAATGTATTAGAATATTTTCATTTTTTTAATGGAATGTTAAAACCATACTATGACAAAAAAAATTACTAGTTATAACCATCACATTAGCCAGCAAATGATTTTTAAAAGTAAAATACTACATATAATCCGGCAGTTAAGAACATGGGTTCAATTTCTGTCTCTACAATTTGCCCTATGACCTTTCCACGTTGACTTCTTTGAGGTTCAACTTCCTCATGCATAACACTGAGATACTATATACCTCTGGGTTTTTGTGAAGATTAAGAAAATGAATGTAAAGTACCTGTCACAGTGTCTGGCCCTGTTAAATATTATCATTTGTTGTAATGCTATTGATTATCCTTTAATGTATTAGTACTAGATTAAAGGAAATATGCATCCTTGGGGTTTTTTTTTTCCTACTGCTAGTGAGAGAGTTAATTTTTTCATTGTAGACTTTTTTTTTTTTTTTGAGACAGGGTCTTACTCTGTTGTTCAGGCCTCTGGTACAGTGTCTGATCACAGCTCACTGCATCCTTGATCTCCTGGGCTCAAGCAGACCTCTCACCCAGCCTTCAGAGTAGCTGGGACTATACGTGCATGCCACTATACCCAGCTAAGTTTTAAGTTTTTTGTAAAGATGGGGTTTTGCCATGTTGCCCAGGATGGTCTCAAACTCCTGGGCTCAAGCTAGCCTCCCACTTTGGCCTCCCAAAGCACTGGGATTACATGTGTTGGCCACCATGCCCAGCCTCACTGTAGACTCCTGAACAGGTTTTAGATAGACAAATTTATACATAGCAAGACTTCTTAACAAGTGTCCTTACATTCAGAAGATTTTTTGAAATGCCATTTTTTTCTACTCACATGTCTATGCAGCCCTCAGAGCAGTCACAGGAATCAGTAAACATGCTGGCAAAGTTGGTTAGATAATATGCTCGAGGCCACACAGTCTTTCTGTACTTAAACTGTGGGGGCTTTCTACTGTCAATTTCATTACAGAAAGAAATGGGCACTGATTCCACTCCATTGCTAATATCCACATTAGAAACAACTTCTTCTTGCTTTGGGTAATTCCGAGCCAACTGAACATAGGTATTGAAAGAAAAGTTATCTGTAAATAAAAAGTTACACTCTGTCTCAAGCAGGTAACGAAAAACTTCCTCCACGTTTCGTAGACTTCTTCCACAAGGGGTTTTATAACTCACATGGAGTGCCGAAGAATGAGAGTTTGTCTTTGCATGTCGTCTTTGGAAGTGACATTTGATTGGCAGCTGCAGAGGATTTTCTTTCTTCAAGGTGAGTGGCATTTTCATCAGACAAGCACCAGAGCAGTCATGACTTTGGTAAGATAAATTCAAAAATGAGTCTTTTTCTCTGAAGTCTACAACTTTATCTTCCAGAGAGATAATTTCCTTATTTTCTGTTGATCTGTTAAAATAAATTATTCATTAGTATCTCCAATTTATAGTTCAATTCCCCATTTAAAAAAAAACTATAATTATTTCCTATCATCTTTTTAGACAATATTAAAATAAGCCAGACTCTAAGGTACACATTTTAAGATGTTCTGCAGCCATACAGAGATTATACCTAATTTATTTTTAAAACTTTTCTCAGAGATGGGGCCTTGCTATGTTGCCCAGGCTGGAGTGCAGTGAATATTCAACAGTTGTGATCATAGCACACAGCAGCCTTGAACTCTTGTCCCCAAGTGATCTTCCCGCCTTAGCTTCCCAAATAGCTGGCACAGGCATGCACCAGGTCTGCCTTATACTTAATTTCAGGATACTTCAGGAGTATGATTACAGGTGTAACTTTCGGTTAGGTATTTCATAGCACCTAGCAAATTTAGAGTTCATTTAGAACATGCAATCAATCAAGCACTGAAGAAGGGTACTTCTTCAGGCAGGCTGAGATCAAGATCTTTGCATGCAAAAAAGCAAAGGCTGGCTGGAAACTTATGAACTAATCAAGAATCCTTTATACTGTTTGCCTTCAACAATTGTACCAACTGAATTATTTCCATAATATGTAATCTACCTGGCAATCATATTGATACATCTGAAAAAATGGCAAACTGACAGGAGAAAATGGGGTGGTTATTGATCAAAAAAAAAATCAGCAAGGTGTGATGCCTCACAACTGTAATCCCAGCATTTTGAGAGGCCAAGAGAGAAGGATTGATTGAACTCAGGAGCTCAAGACCAGCCTGGGCATCATAGTGAAATCTCAAACCTACAAAAAATAAACAAAATAAGTAAGGTGTGGTGGTGCACGCCTGTGGTCCAGCTACTTCAGGGGCTGAGGTGGGAGGATCCCTTGGATTTGGGAGGTTGACGCTGCAGTGAACCATGATCACACCACTACTCAAGCCTGGGTGACAGAGTGAGATCCTGTCTAAAAAAAAAAGAAAAAAAATCTGTGAAAAGCTTCCATGTGTTTGGAAATCAGGTTTTAAACTTTGACAAGAAAACTGAGTTTTGTTTACATAGTATTTTCTATCTTTAGGTATCTGTTATGTATTATAATACAGGTATTTATTTTAGAGATGTTCTGTATTTGCTATATGATATGGTTTGGCTGTGTCCCTACCCAAATCTCATCTTGAATTCCCATGTGTTGTGGGAGGGACCTGGTGAGAGGTAATTACATCATGGGGGCAGGTCTTTCCTGCACTGTTCTCATGATAGTGAACAAGTCTCATGAGATCTGATGATAATGTAAGGGGGAATTTCCCTGTACAAGCTCTTTTCCTGTCACCACCCACGTAAGATGTGACTTGCTCCTCCTTGTCTTCCACCATGAGTGTGAGGCCTCCCTAGCTATGTGGAACCGTAAGTTTGTTTTAGATAGTATCTTCTATCTTTAGATGTCTGTTACATATTGTTTCTTTTAGACAGGCTCTCACTCTGTCACCTAGGCTGGAATACAAAACCTCTTTGTTGTAAATTGCCCAGTTTCAGGTATGTCTTTATCAGCAGTGTGAACATGGACTAATACACTATACAAAGCAGTGCTGTCCAAAAAAATCTTTCTCCATTGATAGAAATGGTCTATATCTGTGCTGTCCAATATGGTAGCCAGAAGGCACATGTGGCTACTGAGTACTTTTAAATGTAGCTAGCATGACCAAAAACTGAATTTTTACATTTTATGTAGTTCAGATTTAAATAGCCACATGTAGCTAGTGGCTACCATACTGTATGTGCAGATATGGATCTTCCTCATCCTTTCTCCAACTGTATATTAATCCTTTGCATAGCCCACAATTTAATTACCTAGTCTGCAATAATGGACTTTTTTCCATAGCATGTAGTATAGGCTAGACCACAATAGTGGACTAGTTAGCTTATACAGTGCTCTTTCAGAACATATACAGTAAATGTATAGTGATCTTTTAATAATTTAACTATAATAATCTTTGCTATAAGATTACTTATTAGTTTTATTGTATGAATAACAATTTCATACACGACTGCTGCAGAACATATTCCCAGAAGTGAGAGTGCTAGGTCATAAGGCAAATGCGTTAGTTATTTCATTAATATTGTCAAATTGTATTCCATTGTGTCAGTTCCTTCAGCAATAAATCAGAGTGCCTGTTTTCACAGAGCTTCATCAATCAGGTGGGTCTTGATGCTTTTTAACAGGTGAAAGGATGTACTATAATTTACTTATAAATCTTTTTTTTTTTTTGAGAGAGAGTCTTGCTCTACTGCCCAGGCTAGAGTGCAGAGGCATGATCTCAGCTCACTGCAACCTCTGTTTCCCATGTTCAAGTGATTCTCATGCCTCAGCCTCCCAAGTAGCTGAGATTACAGGTGTGCACCACCATGCCCAGCTAATTTTTGTATTTTTAGTAGAGATGGGATGTTGTCCAGTCACCATGTAGTCCAGACTGGTCTCAAACTCCTGACTGCAAGCTATCCACCCACCTTGGTCTCCCAAAGTGCTGGGATTACAGGTGTGAGCCACCACACCAGCCCTATAAATCTTTTAATATTAAAAATGTTTGTTTCCAATTTGTCTCTATATTACTACTTTAATGAACATCCTCATATATAAATCCTTGACCAAATTCCCAACTATTATTTTAAGATACATTCCTTTAAGAGGAATTGCTAGGTCAAGAGAAATATACATTTAAAACACTTTTTACTTATAAAATTTCCAAAAATACATATAAAAGTATAATTTCCTTATAAACAGAGACTACAGCCAGGAGCAGTGGCCCACACCTGCAATCTCAACATTTTGGGAGACTGAGGTGGGAGGATCACGGCCCGGTCAACAAGGAGAAACCCCATCTCTACTAAAAATAGAAAAAAATTAGTGGGGTGTGGTGGTGTACACCTGTAGTCCCAGCTACTCAGGAGGCTGCAGTGGGAGTACTGTCTGAGCCTGGGGAGTTGAGGATACAGTGAGCCATGATGGACTGGTCACCCAAGAGCTCTGATGGAGATGTACAAGGAGATTAATGTTCTTATGCCTGTTAACAAAACATCCATTCTGCAGCCCATGAACAAAGGGGTAATTTTGACTTTCAAGTCTTATTATTTAAGAAATATACTTCATAATGCTATTAATATTATCTGCCATAGATAGTGATTCCTCTGATGGGTCTGGGCAAAGTAAATAACCTGGAAAGGATTCACCATTCTAGATAGCACTTGTGATTCATGGAAGGAAGTCAAAATATCAACCTTAATTTGTGATTCTAATTCTCACGAATGACTTTGAGGGGCCCAAGACTTCAGTGGAGGAAGTAATTGCAGATGTGATACAAATAGCAAAAAACTAGAATTACAAGTGGAGCCTGAAGATTTGACTGAATTGTTGCAATCTCAGGATAAAACTTGAATGGATGAGGAGTTACTTCTTATGGATGGGCAAAGAAAGTGGTTTCTTGAGATGGAATCTACTCATGAAGATGCTGTGGACATTGTTGAAATGACAACAAAGAATGTATTAATAGAACATTATATAAATTTAGTTGATAAAGCAGTGACAGGCTTTGAAAGAACTGACTCCAATTTTGAAACTTGTTCTGTTGTGGGTAAAATGCTGTCAATTGGCAGCATCGCATACTACAGGGAACTCTTTCATGAAAGAGTTAATCAATGTGGCAAACTTTATTGCTGTCTTATTTTAAGACACTGTCATAGTCACCCCAACAGTCAGCAGGCACCACCCTGATCAGTCAGCACCCATCAACATCAAGGCAAGACTCTTTACCAGCACAGAGACTAGGACTTGCTAAAGGCTCAGATGAGTGTATTTTTTTAGCAATAAAGTATTTATAAATTAAGGTATATACACTGTTTCTAGACATAATGGTACTGTACACTTAATAAACTATAGTATAGTGTAAATGTAACTTTTACATGCACTAGAAAACCAAAAACTTTTTGTGACTTGTTCTATTGTGATATTTGCTTTATTGCAATGGTCTAGAAACAAATCTGCAATTATCTCTTAGGTATATCTGTACACTATTGGTGGGAATGCAAATCAGTAGAGCCATTATAGAAAACAGTATGGAAATTCAAAAAATTAAAAATAGAGCAACCATATGATCCCATCACTGGGTACATATCCAAAGGATATGAAGTCAGTATACCAAAAAGACAATGGCACTCTGGTGCTTATTGCAGTATTTTTCACAATAGCCAACATAGGAATCAACCTAAATAACCTAAATGCCCATCTACAGATGAATGGATAAAAATGTGGTGTGTATATATTTATATACACACATATACATACATAGACAACAACGATGAATACTACTCAGCCATAAGAATGAAATTCTGTCATTTGCAGTAACAACAGATAAACCTGGTAAATGGATGAACCTGGAGGACATTACGTTAAGTGAAATAAGCCAGGTACAGCAAGACAAACACAGCAGCATCTCACTCATATCTGGAATCTAAAAATGTTGATTTCATAGAAGTAGACAGTAGAAGGGTGATTATCAGAGGGTGGGGAGGACAGGAGGGAATGGGGGACTGAGAGAAGTTAGTCTTGGTCAGTGTTACAGTTAGAGAGGAAGATTAGGTTGGGCAGAGTCACTCACGCTTGTAATCCCAGCAACTTGGGAGAAGGAGGTGGGAGGGCTGTTTAAGCCTAAGAGTTTGAGACCAGCCTGGGCAATATGGCAAGATCCTGTCTCTAAGAAAAGTGGAGAAAAAAAAAAAAGTCTGGCACGGTGGCATGTGCCTGTAGTCTTAGCTACTAGGGAGGCTGAGGTGGGATGACTGTGACAGGAGTTCAAGGCTACAGGGAGCTATGACCATGCCACTGAACTCCAGCCTGGGTGAGAGTGATATTCTGTCTCTAAAAAAAAAATAGAAAATAAAAATGAGACAGGAAGAATAAGTTTTGGTCTTCTATTACATAGTGGGAGCTATAGCAAATAACAATGT